TGGGAACGGCCCTTCCCATATGGTTTGTAAAGGGGTCTTTTTCCAATTTTTAACATACAATCAATCCACTGGGCAGGAGTTAACATAGGGAGGCCCTCCTTATTTTTAATTGGCCCCTGTATATTTTGGAATATTTTCCCCAATTCTAACCACTGTAATTCCAGAATGGAGGAGCCTAACTAAGATGAATTCCCAGTAAAGTCTCTTAAAATACATGGTGGTCTCGAAAATAATACCTCATATGGGAAGAATCCAATATAACCTGGGGTGTTTCTTATCTTAAGAAGGGCTAAAGGAAGTAAATGGACCCATGGCCCTGGTGTTATCAAACAATATTAAGTTAATACATTTTTAATAGTATGATTTATCCTCTTTACTTTATTGGAGCTCTGGGGCCAATATGCAGTGTGTAAATACCATTTTATAAGTAATAATTTAGCTAGATCTTGTACAGCCTCTGCTACAAATGCTGGTCCATTGTTCCTGCCTATAAAGAGAGGCAGACCAAACCTTGGGATTATTTCCTTTAATAAAACTTTGTATACTTCTGAAGCCTTTTCTGTTTTTGTAGGGAAGGCTTCAGGCCATCCAGAATAAGTGCAAACCTACAAATATTTATAACCTCTACAAGGGGAGACTTCTGTAAAGTCTATTTGTATGTCCTAAAAGGGGGTTTTGCCTTTCCATTACATTCTAGATAGTGCTCTGGGCCCTGAGGTCAGATTTATTTTCTGACAAATTTGACATCTTTTTTATTTGTTTTGTTTTTTTGGTACCAGGGATCAAACTCAGGATCTTATGCTTTTGAGGCAGGTAGCAGAACCGATGAGCTAAATCCCCAGCCTTTTTCTTTCTTTCTTTCTTTTTGTACCAGGGATCGAATTCAGGTCCTTGTGCCTGCAAGGCAGGTGGGGGAACCACTGAGGTAAATCCCTGGCTTGACATCTTTTTGAGACTTGTTCACACAAGGCAGAAATACAATGTATGAAGAAATATCTCTAACAGTGTTGGGAGGGCCATCTTCCCCCATGAGTCAAGTCATGGTATCTTTTAATCCAATAGTATGGTAGTGCCTCTGGTATCATCATCCTGTTGTTGGGTAGGATCCAAACAAGTCCTTGTTTCTCAGCCAATTGTTTCTTATCCCATTTGTTCTCTTTATCTGAATATTCTATAGTAACTAGGGGTTTTTGTATCTCAAATTTTCTCTTTTGTGCACAGGTGAACATGGTCATCTGAAGTTTCTTTTTTTTGTTTTTTGAGACAGGGACTCACTATGTAGTTGAGACTGACCTGGAACTCACTATGTAGCCCAGGCTGGTCTGGAACTCACAGCAATCCTCCTGCCTCAGCCTCCCGAGTGCTGGGATTACAGGCGTGCATGACCACACCCGGCTGAGAAACTTTTCTTTATAGTTATTTTATCATAGTAATTAAAAACAGATTAGTTCCAGGACTCATTTTTGGCCCTGTTGTCCTTGTCCCTCACTGCCTCCTGTGCTGCTTCATGTTCTCTGTACACCTTGTTGCCAGATCTTGACAAGTTAAGGAAATCAAAGACTTTCTACTCACAGTCAGGTTCAGGGATGCCAACTCTGTTAAGATTTTAAAAAAAAAAAAAGGATAATGGGAATCTTAAAGTTTGTTGCAGCACTTACCTTTGTACTTTGATCACAGGTAAAATTTTAGGAAAAAAATTGACAAAGTATCAGTACTATTTTTATAATTTAAGGATCACATAAACAGAAACAATACAAAACAAAAAAATTTAAGCAAATGTCTTTGTTTCTTTTGCTGAGACATTCTCACTACATACATACATATATGTATGTATATGTAGCCAGGCTGGCCTTGGTCTGGTGATCCTCCTTCCTCAGTCTCCTGAATGCTAGAATTACATTCATGCAAAATCACACCTGGCTACATTCTTAATTTAAAAGTGTTAGGTAAAGGTTTCAGTTTTTAGGCTAATACCTTTTATCTGAAGATAAAGATATATATCTGCAGCTAAAATGAAGCAACATTAACACAAAAACTAACTAGATCAACCTTGGTCATTAGATGTCATCCTATGTACATATATATTATTCAGTAATATAGTTAAAAGTGAAAAAATAGCTGTGTGTGGTGGTGCACACCTATAATCGCAGCACTCAGGAGGCTGAGGCAGGAGAATCACTGTGAATTCAAGCCAGCCTAGGCCACACAGTGAGTTTAAGGCAGCCTGAAATACAAAGTGAGACCCTTTCTCAACAAACACAAAACAAGCAAATAAACAAAAACAACAACAACAAAACAATGAAAACATATTTTTGGCTACTTTACACATAAACATCGGGTTCATTCTGACCAGTAGTATTTGCCTTTAGTAAACTGATGAAAGAAAGGTAAACAAGAAATAGAAAGGGCCAGGAATTTAGCTCGGTGGTTCAGTGGCCTGCCTTGCAAGCGCAAGGACCCGAGTTCAATGCCCAGTACCAAAAAAAAGAAATAGAAGGGAGTCTACAGTTGCTAACAGAGCTATTTATACGACAGTTTATTTTGCTCCTAATTTTGCCATGACTAATTAAGTATATTTACCACATAGCCTGAAATTCTTCCTTCTCTTTCAGCCTGTATTCATCACGCAAAAGGTCAGCATCTGAAATAAGCAAGCACTGAATACACAGCAAATTAACGGGTAAATGATGGGATGAGGGCATAACACAGTCCTTTAGAAAAAATTTTTATTTATTTTTTGACGCAGACATACAAATGACAATGCTCACTAGATAGAACAATTTAAGACACATGAGAAATGGATTATAATTTGAACATTACAATATTTATGGACATACAGGTCTCATGTTTCCTCAGTTATCTTTGCAAACTTACTAAAATATCACAGCATACTGCAGGTTAAACTAGCAAGTTTACCTCTCAGTTTGAAGAGCAGAATTGATTTAGATTAGTAAAAAGACCAAGGCACAGACCGTTGTTGAAATGTAATATAATAAAAAAATACCTTGTTATCAGCACTCAGGAGTGAAGCATTCTACCTAAACATTCTTTAATTGAATGGCATTTATCCTTCTAAAGCCTAAACTGTTAATCTACTGGTGACAGAATAATGTATAACATGCCTTCTTAAACTTTAAAATAGATCATGCAGATTATAATAATGTTTTATCAATAGTCTTTGTTAGGAGCACAATATCCCAAAGATTTACCAAGGTAGATATTTAACCTATTATAGATAATTTAATATGGCTATTATTTTTAAAATCATCAACTCATTTATTTATTTTGTCACATGTCACTGTCAGCTGTTACTTCTTGTTTTGATTAAATATGTTTTTTGTTATTCATTTATCTGTTTTGTACTGAGGGTTGAACTCTGGACCTCCTGCTTGGCGGGCAGGTACTGTGCCACTGAGCTACATCCCTGGCTCTCTGTTATTTTTCTTACCCCCTGTAATACAGAAGTTAGAGAAGAGCAATATAACTACATAAACCTTTGATGAAACAGTTCCTTCAAGAAAGGTCATTCCTTTTACAGGCAAATGTTAGGAGAGGTTATATACTGAGGAAGGAAGGATCTGAAGAAGGAAGAGCAATCTAGAAATCTGTTTCCAGATAGCAGTCAGATTACTATCACAACTGTCCTTGAATCTGCAGGACTTAATCTGCTCTAGGTTGGGAAACCAGAAAACTAAGATAAAACTATTTATAAAGCAGGGTATGCTTTGAATAAAGGCAGGCAGCTAATTTTACAGTAAACTGCAGGAACACTGAAACATGAATATTTGAAATTTCATATATTTATAAATTTTTCATACACAGGAGTTTTAGTTTGCATGTTTTTCTTTATTTCTCAGTCACAACTGAGGTATGTGATCTCTGAGCAAAGTGCTACTTTATCATTACCTCATTAATTATATATATTAACATATATTATATATGTAATCTTCCCCTGAATAATATTAAATAGTGTGTATGTATTTTACTTATTTTGTGATATTGAGGAATGAATCCAGGGCCTTATGCATGCTAGGTAAGCACTCTACCATTGAGCTACTTACCCAGCCCTTTTAATTTTATTTCTGAGACAGGGTCTCATTAAATTGCCTAGGCTGGTATCAAACCTGTGATCCTCCTGCCTCAGCCTTAGAAGTACCTGGAATTACAGGCATGTGCCCCATGCTGGTGTAATGAAATAACTTTTACAATTACTTTCTTCCAAAAGAAGGCATAATGATCTAATCTGCTTGAGAAAAAAGAGAGTAAAAACAATTCCACCTAAGAAATAAGTACTATTAAAAAAATCAACTCATATAAATGTTAATAATCTTTTTCCTTTTAGCACTTTTCAGATTTAAGGTATCCTAACATACTTTTAAAATTATTTTATCGAATTAAAAATAACTACAGAATTCACATCTGTAACTTTGGATTGTTCTCAACACCTGTCAATTTTTTTTTGTTTTTTTTTTAACAGAAAACCAGTATCTATGTGAGTAGATTCTTGCATACCAAATAAAGTTATCAAGTTTTAGAAAATATAACATATTTTTTCTTTAAGGTTCTCGAAATGACCAACAATTTTCGTTTTGAAAATCTCACAATGGGAAATTGTCACTCAAGATTGACTTTACAAAACTGTTTTTAGGAAATAAATTTCATAATGCTATTTCCCCTCCATATATTTTATAAAATCATTAGCACAAATTATGTTAAATATACTGTTGGCATTCAGTGTATTAAAAACATATCAATATATCAGTGAACAAAATAAAAGCACATTTCAAATGTCTGTATTCCATTTGTGAGCACGAGCATATATTCTAGGTGGAAACTTCTTTCATTCTACGTTTAAGAAATATTTGTGAAATATGTATTGACTATATTGTGCAAGGTAGTAAGAATGCTATAATGAACAGGGAGAACCCCAATGTATTCAATATGTATCGATAATGAAGATAATACATACCACAATTTAAAGCTCCTTTTCCATGTTTCCATTTTCCTATTTTATTTTCACTCATGTAGAAGTTGAAGACTATTCTTTTTGTAACTCTGGGATTTCTACACATTTGAAAAACACTTATTAAAAGAAAAAAATTCCATTGGTAATGATAGATGATTTTTCTTTCTGATTCAAAGTATAAGTTATCTTTGAATATTAAAAAAGAAAGAGAGGGCTGGGAATATAGCTCAGTGTTATAGCACTCGTCTAGCATGGATAGTCCTGGGTTTGAACCTCAGCACTGCAACAAACATAACAAAAAACAGAAAAGAAAAAAAAAATCAATGTTTTACAGTCTTACTTACACTGGGCATTAGTATTATATAAATGCAATTTTTGAAATGACTTCAGCTTATGCATTTGAGGCATTTACATTATATTATCACCTTGTATTCCATAATATGAATGGTGGGTAGCATACTTATTAATCACTATAAATCATAAAGTGTTTCAAGAACAGTAGCAATTGACCAGGCTTGTGTCTCACAGCTGAAAGGACAGTACTGGCCATTTTCATTGGTCAGTTCTGGAAGACCTTTCCAATAGGATCTGAGAAAAAAAAGAGAGGGAGGATGTTTTATAAGATATAGTCTAACACATACTAATAAAATAGGCAAGACTTGATGATTTTTGCCTTGTAATAAAGAAAACAATTATAGCCATTTGTTATAAAATAAAACAACATACTCAAGATGCATAAAGAATTTAGATGGGAGAGTTATTCTTTGATATTTCATATTTGGAATTTAAGACCTTAAATTACAAAAAAATCCCTTTATGTATTAAACACAAAGAAAAAAACCATATCAACAATATATATACAATATCCTCTCAGACATAATTTATTCTTTCAGATTATGTTTATTAGACTCAAACTGTAGTTATGCATGTGATCTCCATACAAATATAAAACTAAATAAACACTAAGAATTATAATTAGGAAAAGTACCAATTAATTTTTCATTCTATTGAATAATAAGCTTATTTATCATGTACTTATTTATCATGTACTTATGCTTTATACAGACACTCTTGGTTTAATGACCAGGTATGTTCCTGTCACTAGGTTGTTGAATGAACTGGTTGCTGAGAAAGTGTATATACTATGTACAATATTCAGAAGAAAGAAATGGTCAAAGAAAACTTCAACTTGATGACTTTGCTTTTATTGTATAATTCTTACATGCAGTGCTGTACTGTAAAACAGAACATAAAACTATAGTATTGTATCATACAATACAAAGAGCAAAAATTACAGTACTGTATAAACAAGGTATACTATATTAAAAAAAAAGACAGAGACTCCATAAACAAGATATACAAAATGGTACAAAAAAAGACAGTTTATAATTTCAAACAGCATGCTTTGGTTGTTAAGTCCAAGTGGGTGTTAAACAGGTAGGTTGTTAAAAAACAAGGACTAAAATGTACCCTCTGTTATAGGAGGTCACACCAAGGTGAGTGTGGTCCACAATGGGAACCCACAGGCAGAGGTGGTAAAGTGTGGGGTGTTCAGGCCCACAGTGGGAAGGGCATTAAGATCTTAAGGTGCCCCACCAGGGGATGTCAGAGCCAGAGCAGACACAAAGATGATGGAAGTATAGGCAAAGAAAAACATACGTTGTGGTAGAAAATAATGAAAAAAATTAATGTGAGATAGAACGGCCTAATTAATATCATACAGAGAAATATTGGTGATAAGAAAGGTGATTTCATAATGATAAAGGGGGCCGGGCGTGGTGGCACACACGTGTAATCCCAACACTCGGGAGGCTGAGGCAGGAGGATCGCTGTGAGTTTGAGATCAGCCTGGGCTACATAGTGAGTTCCAGGTCAGTCTCAACTATACAGTGAGACCCTGTCTCAAAAAAAAAAAAAAAAAAAAAAAAA